TGTTCGAAATTTAGTGCTCTGTTCATGATCAGCTATGAAGTAGACGTTGGACGGCTCGACTGCAATCCTTTCTAGTTTCCATGAAATCGCTTTGTATTCCATCAGATGTCCTCTGTCATCTCAGAGTTTCCGCATGCAACTCTTTGTATACTCGTGATATTTCTCTGCAGCACTTTCCTAATGATTCACATGAACGAGAACAACATTTAAATTTTCTGGAGTTCACTGAGCATCCGTCAAACAGCAATATGCAACGAATGAGATTAGCGAAAATTTTTATTGACTGAATCGGTTGTTGATTTATTGAATGATAAATGTCAAATGCAGTTGATGTGAGATCATTGCTGGCATGTTAAATGCGCCATTCGATAAAAATTGATGGAAGTTTTGTTGAAGCGTATGAAAATTAACACTTTTTGATCAGTTCCACCGCTGACCACTGACAATAACTGCTTAGAGAACTCGTGATATTTCCCCACATCACTTTTCTGAGAACGACATTTTCTGCAGCTTGCTGCACTTCATTTAAAAAACACATGAATGAATAATCAGCGAGATTTTACCAAGAAAATCAACTAATGACAAATTGAGTTTCAAGTAAAAATCATATGTTTGAGACACATTTGTCATTGGTTCAATGTCATTAGTTCGAAAGCTAATTGCAGGATTTGATTAGAAATGTTACCATAACTACAGGTCTAGTTACAGATAGAATATCCGTTTACAACTCGCTGCCGAAAGCACCAAACTTTCTGTACCTCTCGCCTTTGCAATACACAAAATCACTCGCACACAGCACTGATTGATCCTGTTGATCCGGATCAGTGTAATACGGCTACCAAAACTGTGAGCAATTTGTGAGTGATTACAAATTGATACTGATACTTGCAAAATTGTTGTGCATTTCACCTGCGTTTATAAGATTGAAAATAGAAAAAACCAACCAATACTTTCAACGTCTTCGCTAACGGCAAAATATTGGACAGCGATTCAAACTGGATCGAATTTTCAGCCTTTTCAACCCTTTTTTTCTATTTGACGAGCACATGCTTCAATAACGATCTCAATATCGAAGGTTTCAGAAGCTGAATTTATTTTCGTCATTGTTCGTTACCTCATAACAACAAAATGAAACGTCCGGGCAATCGTGAAACCTGGTTTCTGTTATTAGTTCGAGAGAAGCAAACAATTAGAGCCGATATTTCAAATAGAACTTAAATGGAGATCATTTTGCTCAAGAAATGACGAATTCGCCCATATCAAAGGAATGGCTAAAGCGACCGTGCAAAGTCAACATTGGTGAATTTCAGTGGATGTTTCCTAAAAACGACTTATTTTTTTCCGAAATATTTGCAATCATGAGAAGAAAAATCTAATGTCATATGGCCATGATTGCATCCAACCGTGTTCAATCGTTTCATCTGCGTCATTCCCATTTCTTGCGAAGAGCTTACTGAGCTAAGCGCAATAACCAGCTTCCACACTTTTCCTTTGTTTATTTTATCGATAATGCATCCGATGACAATCATTGGAAGTTCATCTCACTTTCTGATGGAAACATCAAACATCATCCGCACTAAATTTCAAAATCCAAACAATGCACTAACAAAATGAAACTGACGTTTTTCAGCGATCCAGTAGCGCAAATTTTAGGAAATTGGATTAGCTAAGAAGGGAAGACAGCAAATCGCTTTATATCAATTATCAACGGAAATACCCCTAATGCTATCAAGAAGTAATGAATGTAAACAAGTTGTTATTTCAGTGAGCAAACTAGGCTGAGCAAATGAGTCCTAATCTTCTGCAAATTCTTTGTGCGATACTTGAGCAATGCTAGAACACGCCAATTAAACCATATGAGTAATATTAAGGAAAATATTCCTTAAAAAAATCCTTACTTGAGATTGTTCAATGGTGTTTTTATGCAAATACTGCTGGCCTGGAGGTTTCTTGCTCAACGGATTTATGAGAGCGCGCTCTCGATCAGGTGCAAAAAAATAGTAGATCTAACGATCACCTAAGGGGCTGCATTGGTGGTCTTCAAAGATTATTGGTTATTTCGTTGATTTATTTCCTTCAATAATGGAATCGATTCCTTTCTAATTTTACTGTGATTACAACTTTTTGTTATGATTGCCTGCAATAACGAGAAAATGGAAATATCACGTCAGCAGTCGCTAATATCGTTGTCAAAAGCATGAAAAACAGTTCAACAGCATCAAATGCATAAACCATCGTGTACCGCCAGAAACGAGTATGAAGAACAAGTCTTTCTTACAGAACTGCCAATGTGCAACAATCATCCCATGTTCTTTTGCTTGGACCTAAACTGCTCACTGACCAACAATGTGCTGATAGTGGCAACGTGAAATTAATATTCATATATTCACATCTTTTTGATATCTCATTTATAAGTTTACAGCACAAAACACGTTTTTCTGCTTACAATTAGGAAACTGGGATGCTTTTTTGCTTAGGCTTCACAAGTTCCGGTGTACTTTCACATAACTGAAACGCAGAAGCAGTTAAAAGCAATTCTGTAAAGTGGATGGATATACAATGCTTGATGGGAGACAATTACAAAAAATAATAACAATTCAAAACAATGTTTCCAATCATGATGGTTTTTTTTCATGAGTAAGTCATTATCACGCCAACAATGACGATTGTATAGAAGGTGAACAATTTTCAGCCTTTTCAGCGCTCAGTTGAAGCCTCAATCGTTATTACAGATCTAGAAATGCATAAACTATGGATTCTGGTGGAGTATCGCAGAGAAGACCTCAGAGGCAATTCCGCCGCTTTGACATCAGCCAAGCGATTCAACAATAACAATAGCGTCATTTTACATCGATTACTTCAAGAAGCCAAATTGTAAANAATGTGCAGCAGATGATGTGTCAATACATGGAAAAAATAGAGAACAATGATTTGTTTACTCAGACGTTGGTTTAATGAAAAGAAGAACTGAATGTAATTGATGATGGTGACGAAATCGACAAGATCCTTTTCTGTACTTATTCAGTAGATAACCTACTAAGAACAATTTTGGGCCCCAACAAAGAATCAATATTTTTCCAGTCATTCAAAGTAGTGTTCGAAATTTGGGTTAGCCGCATCCGCCGCAGGGATATGAATCATCACAACAACTTGCGGAGGAATGCTCCGCGAGAGTCCTCACTGTTAGAGATTCCCCTGCATCCACGGTTGCCCCGCGAGGGAATCCTGAAAACGCAGGTAAGAAAATTAGTGAGAATTTGTCGTTGTAACAGTCAAAAATTTGATTCTGTTTGTGGGCGCTGATAAAGAAATTCGTATATTCGATCGTGTTTGTGGGCTCTGATGAAGAAACTCGTACAGTAGGGAAATGTTGATTTTGAACTTGTAATGCACAATTCCCGGTGTATTGCACATTGAAATACGGTTATATCAATGCAAAGAAATGAAACATTCCAATGCTCAAACATGCATCCAGGCAGATAAATAGACAACGAGTAGGATTTTACCAGCAACACTTTATCATCATTCACTTGCTGTTCGGCTGATCAGATATTGAGTGATCTTGGAGAACAAAACTAGGATGATTCCATTGACGTAAGCAATTCAATTTCAAGGCAATCAACCGTCGTTAATAAAAAGGAAGTTAGTTTCGAGTACTTTGAAGTAATAATGAGATATAGCATCGTGTACTGCTCAAAAATGACAACTTTCAAAAGCACACATCACTTTCGATTAGATTATCTTGGATCATTTGAAATGTATGCGATTAGTTAATGGAGAGCTGAATATTGACACTTGAGAATGCTCCAAAAGAATTAGTTTTCAGATGGATCCATCCAATCCATTAGTCGCACTCTGTGATGACGCCAAGAAGGACAAAGCCACACCACTTGGTCTATTGACCAGCATCGTTGGAGAAGTTGAAGGGAAGTCATCAACTGAGCCGACTGCGAACATGGAAATTCCATAGAAGTTTTATGAAAAGCCGACAGACAAAACAATTCGATGAGTTGATTTGTTGAGGTGAAACTAAGCATTTTAATCGCACACAATCACCATCAGTGCTTGACTTAATTGGTGTTTGCATGCATCACTTCTTCAATCGATGAATAATTGTGCGCACATTAACAGTCCAAGGGACATTAAAGTGAAGAAATAATGGCAAAAAATGATTCAAACATTCATATGAACTAATATTGCAGTGTTTGAAACAATGACTGCATTTCAAGGATACTGAAAATCACTAAAAATTCCAACAGTGTGCGCCATTTTAATGAGGAGAACTCATCTGGTTCGTCAAGAACTTTTGATCCTCCTTACAATTAGGTAGTTTCGTAGACCTAAATTTTTAGTAGAAAATGTCATCATCTGAGATGTTGCTCAGCTGAAAGAGTGGGAATTGAATGCTCAAGAGGATTTCTATGTTCGGATGAAGCATCTTGTTCACACATTTCCATTGCTTCACTTTTCGGTGAATATTTTTAATAATGATCATATTGAAAACGTTCAAATTAGAGAGTAAAAAATACTAAAAACTGCAAAATGCTACTGTCAGTAAGCGAGC